GAAGCTATTATTCAGCTTAAGTAATTCTTGCATTAAATCTCTTGCCTTCATGTCTGAGGATTTACATATTTTACTTATTACTAGAGGTGTTTTTTCTATAGCTGGCTTCTAACAATATTCCTAGTAAGTTAAAGCTTTCAGATCTTTTTAGAAGTCATTACTCTGCTATACAAATGTAATAGTTATATTTTTAATGAAATACAACAGGGTTTTGCAAAGTCTGATAGTGTTTCTCCCTAAAATGTCCCAGAGTAAGATTATTTGTGAACATTTTGATTGTTTATAATAGCAGGATATCTGATTTTCAGAGGTAAGCAGCATAAGCTCTCATGCTTGCTTCATGGAAAGAAGTAGAATGTTTTGTCTTTATCTTGATCATTTTAAGATCGTTCATTTACTGGCTCTAGAATTTACTAAGTCAGATTTACTAAGTCAAGAATTAGGTTTGTGAAGGAAGAACAGCCTAATTTTCTAAAGAGTGTGTAAAGCAAATCTAGAAAAAAACCCAAAATAATTTAAAAGATAAATAGAGCTGCTCTGCACATTGTAGGCTCTGCCAGGTATGGCCCAAGGTGTCCTCTGCGTGCTTGTCAGCAAATGCAGAGCAATCACATGCGCAATGTGTTGGGACCACAGTAGCAGGAATAGGTCTGACTGCAGCGAGAGGGAGACACTTTATATCTAACCAAGAGGTGGCAAGCCATAAGGAAATGGTGCTGTGTTTTCATTTGGGTACAGAAGTTCAATCCATCTCAGTTTTGTTCTTTTCTTTTTTAAGCTCACTACTTAGATGCTGTTCGAGGTAAGTTTTTTATATCGGCATTGCGAAAGAATAATGAAAAGATGCAAAATTATTGGGAATGGAGTGTTTTTGTGTTACCTGTTTTGTCTGAGCTTCTGTACTGATGCATTGCCAGAACAGAGAAAACATTTGTTTATGGAGATACAGAGAGAGATACACACACAGAGACAGAGAGAGATTTACAGAAGAAAATGCAGTTTTTAGCAAGTAATGTGCTCAACTCATTTGCAGAGTTGTAGTGATGTAAGCATGTTTTATGTGGCCATCTGACATGCGATGTTAGGCAAATCAGGTTTTTGCTCTCGCTTACCATTCCAAAGTAATGACAGAGCTGAGGTCTGGCTCAAAAACCCTCGTGTTGATCCTGCCTTCCATGAGAACAAAAATTTTCTTTTTCTTTTTTTTTTTTTTTGTCATTTGTGTTTGAAGTAAGTTTCTTTGGACAGAGAAGTACGCTTTTTAAAAAGCTGCCTATGCTAGGTGTGCTGTAGTTCTCTTCAAATCATTTGATACAAGAGTTAAATTTTATGTTGTTTTGTGTCTGGTGCTGTTCATTTGATTTCTGTGCCTTGCCGCGGGTCCTGCTTATTCATGTCAGCGCAAGTACCTTCCCCGAGTTTGACAGCAGTCCCTCAGTCCTAGCCAGGCTGTGCGGAGCAGTGATTGCACATTGCTCCTTGCAAAAATGCTGCTAGCTGAAATATCAACCTAACCAATATTCCAGAGAGACCTGGGTGTTTATTTTGTGTTTATTATCTTATTTCTTCAGAATTAGATAATAATAAAATCATGTAGGCATTCATTTGATTACATTTATCGTCTTAGAGGATAGTCGCACACAGCATCAAAATACAATCATGTACAAGAAATGAGTT